ATCTGTTCTTGGATTCTGTCCCGAAAAATAATACAGTTTTTAGTTGAGTGAGACCAAAAGTTGTGCCATTTACAATACATTTTCCCTTTAAGTTCTTCTGGAGAAGGAATTTTAACTCCCTTTGGTAACTTTAGGAAATTTTTTACAAGCAAATAATCAAAAATGTCATCTGCCTTTATTAAATCGAAAGAGTATTTCTTATGAAAGTCTTTCTTTTTAAAGTGTTGGTCTATTGTAGTATCCTTCTGAATTAATGCCTCACAGGTCATAGGCTCTTTCCCCACGATCTCTGATGCATCAATCTTGTAATTAGGGTCTCTATAATAAGTCTTATATGATGCATTACTTCGATTTTGTTTTTCCTCAAGTAATGATTCATATCTAGACACCTTATAGATTAATTCCACTAAGTCTCGAAACTCAGTTGAATCGAACTTCTTTCGAAGCCTAAACTCTAAATCATTTTGAGCCAATCTCACAAATTCATGCTCTAGTAGAATGACCCTATACTTGTTTCGTACTCTTTTAAACCTGACAATAAATTGAACAGCCTTCTCATCAGGTTTTTTACTCAACCTTGCCAAGTCTGCCATGGAAACTTCTAGCTCCGTTTAGAAGAATTAGCCATGAAATGCCTCCTCTATTTGTTGCCAAGTTTGGATAGAGCCAGGTATAAGGTTAATATACCATATAAAAGCTGTCCTAGTTAGAGAATTTGGAAAAAGTCTTAACTTCATGTAATCATTATTAGTAAATTCACCACATTGGGCTGCGAACCTAGCAATGTGTTCTACTATTGACTGGTTTCCATTCCCATAAAAAAGAGCAAAGTCTGGTATTCTAAACCCCTTTGGGTATTCATGCACCCTATCCACCCATTCTGGGTATGACTTCTTGTACACGGGAGTTTGAACCCCCCGAGCCAGGTCCACACATTTCTTTGACAATATCAATAATTTGGTCCCTAGGAACCATATTTTGTGCTTGTTGGACTACCATTGGAGGAACAAACACAAGATTTAGTGGAAACCGTTGTACTTGAAGTCCTCTTGGTCCATAAAGAGGTATATTTGGAACTGGCTGCTATTGAGGGTATGGTTGACCTTTCTGAGCCTGTCCTGCGAAAGGACCTGCGAAAGGTGCTGCAATAGAAGGAACGTGTGTTGTTTCTCTCCCAGCCACAGGAAACCCTGCCAACCTCCCGGGTGTGAATTCAAACAAGGGATTAATGAACCTCTTTGTGCCAGGTACAGCTTCAAACATGGGATTTGGAAACATTCTCATGCCATTTTCTTGTATTGGCCCAAGTCCACCAATTTGTATGGCTTCGCTGTTAGGTGATGAGGCATTTTGATTTACCATAGGCCTCGAAAGAGACTCATACCAAGACTGAGGTATAAGTGAGGGTCTTTCATAATTTTGATTACTAGTTTGACCATTAGTATGTCCATTACTTTGCATAGGCTGTTTATTTCTAGCCAATCTGTGCTAAGGAACATTTGAATTTTTCCTCCATATGCCTTGTGTTAGCTGGTTGATGGGAATTCATCCGATCCATAAAGGATATTGCCCATCTTTCCATTGTGTTCATTAACTGCTGTCCTATGGCATCTACCAAGCCTCTACATGGATGCATTGGCTGAGTAGATGGAACAGTGGATGGTCTAATTCCATGGCCTCGTCCAATATTTTGAACATGTGGTGCATGTTTTGAATTACTGGTCTGTTCGATCATAGGTTTTGATGAGATAGATGCTTCCACTTCTATAGGATGTGTTATCACATTATCCTCTGGATCAGGTACCTCTACCTCTCCTTCCACACCTTCTTCCAGGCGTTCATTTTCTCATTGTCTCCTACGTCTAGCGATTTTAATTAGTCCCACTAGGCGTGCTAAAAATATATGTTGACTTTTTTGGCTTTCGAAGGTTAATATTATAATTTTAAGTGTGCTAGCAAGGATCAATCAGTCCTTACAGAAGATTAATTGCCAACAAATTATCAGACGATTGTATTTTAGTTCTCTCAGCCTCAATGAAGAGGACTTTTACTAGTGGCTTGTTTAGAAGAATTTAGTAAATAACAATTAAGTGAAGAATAATTTCAGAATTTCATTAAGTAAAATGAAAAACTTATAATTATCTGACCCAGTCTCGTAGAGGTTTACAACAACAAATTATTTGAAACTACTCACATGAATGAAGTGCATTACAGGAATTTGAAGTACAGAAATGTAAAGAACTGTAAAAATTGGAACGGAAAAGAAAGTAAATAAAACTGGTTTTTTGATTTAAGTCTAGATCCTTCACTCTGGGGCCTTCTCTGCTATTTATACTTCTCAATGATAACCATCGAAGTGGGCTTCTAACCGTCGAAATGTCCTCCCATGATTGTTGAACATGCTCTTTCACAGTCAGTCCCACTTCGCCACCTTTGCAGTTAGACTTCCCTCCTGATTTTGAATTTGAACTTTGTGAATAACTGTTAGGCCACATCACCTTATATCCCTCGATCGTTCCAGTGCTACGTAGACCCATTATTATCAATACGGGCTGACACGTGTCTGACTATGGTTGGCAACTTGTATTAACTCCCCAAATTGCTTTTTTCATGCCACGTGTTGAATTGTGATTGACTTTAACAAATTATACAGCCAACCAATATATAGCACATTTTGCTATTTTTTTCACTATAATTTCTCCATTCATTCTCTTTTTCTTTTTCTTTTTTTTCAGTAATATTCTGGACATTTCGATAAGTCTCCAACGATATTCTTGACTTCCAGCAAATATTTTAAACATTCTGGCGATTTGTTTAGAACATTCTGGCGATACTCTAGTAACTTCCTAATGATGTTGAACATTCTGACGAATTTCTAATGATCGTCTGACAGAAGTTTGGCAGTGGTAGGATGTAACTACATTTTTAAATTTATAAAAAAAAAGGAAATTTTTAGTAACAATAAAAAATATGTAGGACTAATTAGTGCAAATGTTTTGTTTTGGAACTAGATGAGTTTTGAATTTTGTATATGGGACTTATTGATAGGGGGTGTTCAGCGGATATTTCGATCCGCCCAAATCGACCAAACTGAACCGATCCACCGCATTTTAGACGGATGTGTGATGACAAGTGGACGGTTACGGGTTATTTTTTTTCCAATCTGCCTAGCTTTGGACAAATGGCGGACTTGAGATTTCTTTGACCGAAACTAAACCGCCAAACTGCAAGCACTATTAGTAATTTGCAAAACTTTGTGCTTTCAATTTATTTAGATATTCTGTTTATGTTTTTAATTGAAAAAGAGTTTAGATATTTTGTTATGTTTTCAATTTAGAAAATCCTTTTATCAAATGGCAAATGTTGATATTTAATATTTTGTGTGGAAACATAACGCTTAATTTGGTCATTTAAAAAAAAAATCAAATTAAACAGTTTTTGAATAAAAAATAGTAATGAAATAGTTTCAATAATGTATGATTTTCTTATATGTATTTGTTGTTGGTATTGACAATTTACTTGATAATCTTTTGATTATGTTGAGTTGGATTGTTATCCAAAAAAAAAAATGTTGACAAGTTGTTATATTATATTCAAAATTTGTAAAGGTTTAAACCACCAAACCGATTCGCATCCATCCGCCAATCCAGCGGATAGATGCAGATTGATTTTTTCTAATCCGCCAATCCAACTGAACCACAAACACCCCTACTTATTGGTAAGTGCCCCTTTTTTAAAAAACCAAATTCAAAATGAAAAATATATATGATCCACACAATGTGATCCACAATAATGTGACAGAACGCATGCTAACTTTTAATTTGTCACTACTTTGTTGTGTAGGGCTTATTTCTCTTTCCACATCATTGTAAGTCAAATAATGAATCTAAATTGTGAATCTATAGCATTATTCATTGAAAATTAAAAAAAATAAAATTTTGTTTTAAATTTATTTCTTAAACTTCTAGGTTCTTCTTTCAGGAGGTCGAAAACACAACATCAATTTTAAAGCGGTATGTTTAAAATATGATTTTATAAAACGACGTGAATTAAGAAAATGAATTTAAAGCTGTTTAGTTTGAGAATTCTATTTTAAAACTACTTGGGGTTTGATAAGTTTTTTTTTTTTCTGTAACCAGGATATTGAGGTGGTGTATTGGTTCCTCTTAGTGAGAGATTTCAAGATCAAATTCATTTATTTGAAGATAATATTTTGTATAACTCTTTATTATGATGATACATTTTTCTCCCTCACACACGATCAAGTTCAAATTTGTGAAATCTACATGCATGCAGGAGAGAAAGTATATCACCATAACATACTCGTTATATGAAATACAAATTTGTCTATTTAACAAAGTTTTATTTGTATAATTATTACAGTGAAGTGTACTAGTTATGCAAATATTTTCAAGCACTTGGCCATGTTTTGGGAACTAAAGAAAAAAGGCTGCGTTTTGCAGCTTGGGCTAAAAAAGTCAAAATGACCTTTTTGTCATCAAATCATTTGAAAATGTAGCTACAAGTTACTTGTAAAATTACAATTATGTCCTTCATATTGTTTAAATGAGCCACATGAGTGAAAGTAATTATTTTCTAACATGAGTGAAGGTATTTTGATCATCTGATTATGATGTGACAGTATAAATAGATATTAAGTAAAAAAAAAAGCTAAAAAATAACTTTTTAACAACTTCCTAAATGACTTTTAAATATATTATTATTTGAATTTTCATTTTTTTCACCAAATTAGTTTTTGAAATTTTTTTTAAAAACTATATTTTGAAAACTCAACCAAACAGTTCTAATTTAGATGTTTCACGCAAACATAAATGAGGTTTGACATTTAAATGAAGACTGGAGAAACCAATATGCGTATAGAATCCAAAGAGACAGAACAATCTCTTTGGGTAGAAAATTTAATAATTATGTGGTCTTGAACATTAACAACTACACACCTTATGCATTTTTGCAAAATCAACTATGTTTTTCAACCGACATTTATCAGGAAAGAAAATTACATCCGAATCAATTCAAGATAACAATCAAATAGATCTCTTACATTCTCTGATCAGTACAACACACGAGTTAACCACAAGTTTACAATGAAATCAAGATGGCAGTTTTGTACATTGATCAATAACGGCATTTTTAAATAACAAGCACTTTACATTCTGTTCGAATTGAGATTAGGTTACTCCTACACCTTTTATTGCTCCAACATCTTAACCCGTCCCATCAGACTAAGAATTACGTGCCACACAAAAAGGTGCAAGTGTACATGTTGGCACTGAATGCATATTAATGTTGAAATATCTCAACATGTTCCATAGACAGATTAAGACACCTAAAATCATAGCAACCAAAACTACTCTAAGCTAGCCAACCAAACCAATCTTCTTTCGGGAGACATTGCCATAAACATCTCCCTCCAATCTAAATCCTTAAACATCTTGATTGCCTTTATGTAGGTACTTGAATCCACTCCTTCAATCGCTTCTAGACACTTGACACAATTGGTAATTGAGAATGGACTAGCTTGGGAAGATGTCTCAAGTTTATGGAAAGTTGGGGTCATTACCTTACTAGTTTCAGCCCATTTTCTATCAGAAATCCCCGAGGGAACTGTAGCTTCAGTCCATTCCTTCAATGCCTCACCCTCCACTGCTGTTCTTGCCTCCCTCTTCCCTCTAAGATGGCTTGTAGGAGTGGAAGATCGTTGGCGACGGCGTCTAGTACTTTGCGAGGGAAAATCTCTACCATTGCTACTGTCACTTGGGAAAGCGGATGGAGTAGCATTTGTTGACTCATCTTCTACGTCCAAGTTATATTCACTGACCATTGGATACTGAGCTAATGGAAATACATCTTTGTAACTTGATGTTGGGTCCCCAAATATGATTCCTAACTCATTAAACATTGGGCACCCTTTTTTCCGAAATCTCTTCACATTTTTGTTTCCCTATATTAAAAAATACACAGCTGTGATTCAGTGAAGTTTAAAGAAAAGTGGCTTCAATTTCAAAATTTCAAAATTTAAGTGTTCACCTTTATGTATGATTCCCAAACAGCATCAGTTGCAGTTACAGTACTGAGCACGGGTTCCCAAGTAAACCCAGGTTCCTTCAACAGCTTACTAAAATCATTAAAACGGGTTCTCAGCTGGTTAAACTTATTTCTAAACTGAGAATTGTTGTACCTCTTGTTGGTTTTCTCACAGAACTCTTGTTCAATTTGTTTCCAACCTTTCCTTGAAAAGGTGGTTGCTGATCTATTCCCTTCGTGAACCTCTTTCACCATTAACTGAATATAAAGTTCCTCCTCTAAGGCTGTCCATGTTGCAGGATCGGGCTCAATTTCTACTTCATCTCCTCCATTTAGTCTATGTGCCATCTAAATAGGAATATAAGAACATATGTAAGCCAGAAAAAAGTTGATCGATAATCATACCTTAGCTCAAGAAACATCAAAATAGCAGAAGGTTGTGTAATAAGATGTCTGAAATATGGAGAATAAACCGAGCATGGCTCATCAGAGTATGATAATTACTCAACTCAGGACCACAAACCGAACAATAAAATTATAACAGGTGTTTGCTTCATTGGACTACGGCATGGGATTGGATTCTATATCCAACAGATTTACTAGTCCATCATTTGGTTAGAAAAATGAGAGTCGGACTAATAGTCAAATACATATCATTTCTAGTCAAATATTCCAGTGACTATTTATCTCAGGCCTAACAGTCCATTGTATTCCAATCGCAAGTTAAACTGTGTCCATAAAATTCAGACTATCTCAACCAAATGAACTAAGACTGATATATCCAGAGTGATAGCAACAAACCTCATGATAGTGTCCAAAGCAGAAAGCTACGAGGTCCCAAGGCCAGTCAACTTAATTATTTCTGACAAAACCACCAGCTTCATTAGATTAAAAACAAAATACCAGGAAAATAAGGATTGCAGTAACTTTACATGCATGCATATGACACTAGTAAAAAATATCGAGACCTTATTCTTTCTTCAACGTTAAGGATGCATTCGTTTCATTCACTCCAGATCTATCCTTGGAGGTTTTTGCAACATTTTCCCCTGCACAACATTTATTTTGTTTTTCTCCCAAATATTTTATAAAAAAAATCTGCTAACCTTTGATCCAAAACACAGGTTTGATTGACTCAAACAAACAAACAAAAATCGATTTACGCCTGGAAACAAAGAAGCCATGCAGCAATCACGTGAACCGCAAACCAGCACTAGCAGTTGCTCCATGCACATCTCCTGCATAACCCACTTAGTTTCACAACTGAATTTTGAGGTGATGGGGAAAGAAGAAGAAAGGAGACTGAAAGATATAAAAGATGGGAATCAAAGTTTCACTGTGGGAGGTAAAATTAGCACCAAATTGAACAAGGTCCAGCTCGGATGAGGTGACAAGATCTGCTTGTGCAGATCCGAGCAGGGCACATGGAAGAATCTGAGAGAGCCCTGTGTAAAACGGTGGTCAAATCCTAGTCAAAAGGTGAATTGGTGTTAGGAAAGAATTTAGCTTCCTAAAGGTTATGGTTTAGGGTTAAACCTAGTCCAACTAGGAAAGGGAATGCTTGCTAGGCAAGTCCTTTCCAAAGGACTGGAATTGTAAAAAGAGTAGAACACTAACCACCTAAGAAGAACAGACACTTCTAAGTAGGTGGCATATCCGTGTCGTATCTGTGTCGGACACTGACACTCGTTAGCCACTATCGTCAAAATGTGCTCTATTTTTTAAATAAATTTTTAGATATGGACACTCGTACCCTTTGCTTAAACACACATGTCTACCGATTAGACACATATGAAACTCATTAAAAATTTGAATAAAATAACTTAGTATATAATAAGGAAAGAAAAAAATAATATAAATTTATACAATAAGTGTTATATTATTTTTTTTTTTATTATGTTTAAATGATATATTCATATATATAATATATAATAAAAATATAAAATTATATATTTCATGTGTGTCCTCCACGTGTCATGTCTTGCATTTTTTTAAAATTGGCATATCGCCTTGTCCGTGTTTGTGTCATGCCGCGTCGCGTGTCTGTGCTTCTTAGCTCACCACTATAAAAAGATGTACACACCAAAGGTTCAGGTATGTGCAATAGACTCAAAACCTTAGTTGCACAAAGCAGGAGCGGGAGCGAGAGCGGGGGAACGGGACCACTTAGAGGAATCGTAAATTAGGAGCGCTTATGTATTATTTTTATTAAATTATATTTTATTATATATATATTAAATAAATAGAATAATAAATTAATGTAAAAATAAATAAAAAATAAAAATTAGAATCTTTTATTTTTAATAGATTTTTTAAGTTTTGTTTTTATTATATATGATTTTACAATAGATTTCTTTTAAATAATTAGATGATTTATTTATATTTATATATGTAAAAGTTAAGAAATAATAAATTTTAATAAATATTTTTTTATTTTAGCAGAAAATATATTGCTATGACAAATTATATTATATATTATAAATATTAAATTTATAAATATTAATATTATCATTATTATATATAATATATATAATTTATATTTACTATTATATTAAAACAACTATAAAAACGGAGAGGGAAGAGAGGGAGAACAGGATCTGAGAAGAGAGAGGAGGGAGAACAGAGACGAGACGAGGAGATGAAGAGAGAGACGAAGCAAACAAGAGACGGAAGAGGAGACGAAGAGAGAGACGAAGCAAATAGAGGCGAAGAGAACGAAGAGGAGATTCGAGACTGAGAAGAGACAGAGAGACAGACAGTTTGAGATCGACATCGAGAAGAAGGTCTCAGCCCTAATCGGATTCTCTCGCATTAGAGAACGCGATTCTTTAATTGCGATTCTTCCTTGGAAGGCGCAAAATCGCACTTCTTCCTTAGAAAACGTGAGTCCCTTCCCACGATTCCCTGCTAACTAAGCTCAAAACTCTGGTTTTGGCACCTAAAAAAAAATAAACAAGGCATACCAGAGGATGCTGGTGCTAGGCTGTTCATGAGAACCTGATTCACCTGACTAACCTCGGCAAAAAACCATCCGAAAAAACCGGAAATTATATGGTTTCAAATTAGTAAACGATCGTTTGCTGATGTTCATGTTATATAAAGTTCAATTTCTACGATTGTTGAAGTTTAAAGTCACCCACCCGCAACCACCTGAACCAACCCGTAAAAATAATAATTAAATTATCACATGGTAGCCCCGGGCCGCCGCCCGTCCTAATTCTGCCAACGACGTAAAAAATCATATAACTGGTGATACCAGACGTCATCACGTGGACAGTGGTATCAAGTAACCACTAATATACGTATGGGAGGGATTAACCACCACCTTGCAACATATACATAGGCATAAAACATAACAAACTCTATGGATGTTGATACATGTCATGTGGTATCACTGTGATATTGAATTTTTTTTCCTAGCCACACAATTGACATTTACCACCTCACTATTATACCAACTGTCCACTTTCTCTGCTCCTTTATCTCTCTTGGAAATCGCTCAATCCCAACCATCAACTCCCGCACTTTACTCT